AAAAAAAATGATTAATTTAACAAAAAGTTGAAGATTAAAGGCTCAATGCCCCTAAAAATCTCCAACCTTGCAAAAGGAGTGATTTTCATCCATCTATTTAAGAAAAGTTCATAAATATCCCTCAACTTTAGAGAAAGGACCAAGCATGTCCCTCCGTCGAAGGATGTCATAACGTTTCCATCCATAGTCCCTTAGCTTTCAGTTCCTGTCCATTTTGACACCTTAAACTTTATATTTATTCAACTTAATCCCTAATTTCAACTTTTCTTATTGCAATTTAGTCCTTAAAATTTTGAAAGAGATGCAATTAAATCTCAAAATTTCTAATTTCATGCATTATGGTCCTTTTTGCACAATTAATAAAAATCATGTAACCTCGGAAAATTACATTCAAGTATTTAAATCATTCAAATATCAATAAAATCAAATCTAAAATAGTAAACTAAAATATATAAAATTTATATCATCAAAATGAAAAAAATTAAGTCTTGGATACTCACTTGTCCCAAAAATGTTTTTGATACTCAATTTAGTATCTTAGCTCCACCCTTGTTAGGAAGATGCTGGATTCTAGTTAGGCTACCTCAAGGCTTTTAATGATGGTAGCCTTCTAGCCCTTATAGCAAGGAAGGTGATGACCTTTAGTTACCTTATTATGTTATATAATCTCTCATATGTCCAAATTGTCAACTATTCTATATTGAATTTATGACATTTGCTTATAAGATAGGGTTGTAAACCTCATCCATGATTATTTACTTTAAAGAGCTGTAATCTTTTTCTAAAATTAAAAATGAAAAGGAAAGGAAAGAAAAGAAAAGAAAGAAGAAATTAAAGAGAGAGAGAGAGAGAGAGAGGAAAAAGGGGGGTACAAAACGAGTTGTTCTATTGGAATGTTACTCTTAAATTTTGCACATGGGGACAAGGTTGTCTATTTTAGGTGGGGAATTATGCTCTAGTTAACGCAAATCAGAGAGGATACCCTCATTGAATCATGTCTTAATACAAACATGACATGCTGGGGCCATGTGCCCTTTGTGGGATCCCTACAAAATTTAAACCAAAGTCTCAACGGTTATACACCATGTCAAACGAGTTAGATACGTGACAAACCTGTCTCAATTTTACCCTTCAAAATAAAAATAAAAATAAAAACAAGAGAAATGGACAGGAGGTCTACTCTTACATGCATAATCAGAATGGACAAGCACTTCCCCAAAAAAAAATTCCTACAAAAAATTAGGTTGGTCAAACTAAACTTTCATAGTTCACACTACTTGTGTTCTGTCGGATTATTTGTTCTGATTCTCACGTACATCTAACATGGAAAGTTGCAATCGTGTCTTAAGACAGTATAAATGACTTTACAAAACATGCATTTGTCTCCAATTAGTTCTAATGGTTATATCAAATTAAATCAGGCTTCTTTCATTAGAAAATTAAGATCGACCTATTAACTTGCGAAATTGATAGTGTGGATTCAATTGATTAAGTGGGGGGTGTGAATGTATACTTGAACTGAACTATCACACTGATGCTGACTAAGATGAAGTGAAGAGGTTGGGCAATTACATTAAGTAATATATATTATTATGTTTATTTTTTTAATTATAAATTATT